CATGCCCACTCTCTTGAGCCATTTAATACTTCTTCCACTGTATGCCACAGCAGTCCTGACACGCCTACTTCACTTAATGTGGGCCATGGCTTTTTCCAAGCTTCCCAGAGCCATCCCGTTGTAACCAAAACACAGGTTCAGTCGCTCACTGCTTGCAGAGTCCAATTAACAAGAGCAAGATCTCGTACAAAGAAAGCAACTTTTTATTCCAAAACCAACTTAGGGGAAGAAGGTATGGCCTCCGCTTTTAGAGTACCGCTTCGCTTTCGGAGCAGAAAGCAAGTGCTTTTAAAAGGGGGCCTGGCATGCTGACGTGAATGGCGTGCAGGGGACGAAGCAGCAGATGGGGTGTCTGCATACTCACTTTGGTGCCTTGTCTACAGGGTGGTGGAGCTGGTGACTACTGGTGCCTTCATGGACAGGACTAGGTTGCCAAAGCAGCCAAAAACTCTCCAGGTGAGAGTCTCACAGCCAGCATACGTTGGCTTGTAGATGGTCTTGTAGGCTGTCTCCTGAGGCAACCTCCCGCTTGGGTGACAGTTCTGCTCTGGGACTTCTAAACACATAGTTACATGAACTTGCCCTGTTGTGTCTGTTGAAGAGGAGGTAACAGGCTATAAATGCATTTCTAAAGAGCTAAGTAGGAAGTGGGGAGAAGAGAAAAAGAGAAAAAAATAAACTAGCTCTTGGGACTTGGGGTAGTCAGTTACACTATGAGAACGTTAGCAACACCTCTTGGGGTCTTTGTCAGAGTGTTGAATCCCCTGTCCTAAGAACAGGCTTCCATATCCATATATTTTCCCTGATCAAACTCTATGTCCCACCCTCCTTGCTCCAACACCCTCAGAATCCAGTCCCATACAACTCCAACCTGTACTTGCTGGTTAGCTCCTCTTGAACCGCCAGGGCATAGTGTATTTTTTCTCTTCGGGGAATCCTGGCTGAGGTCTAAAAGGACTTAATCCTAGTTATTGGTTTGCAGATCCGGAGAGGAGGTGGGGCAGGTTTTGAAGGGAACCTGTGTGATCTTACAAGCCAGAGGTTTCTCTATCATCCTTAAGCAAGGAAGTCGTGATGGCCTTTACCAGGAACAAGTGGGCACTTTTTCAGGCCCAAAAGATAATTTAAATATTCAAATTTTTTAAAGTATTCACCCAGCTGACCCCCACCCCACATGTCTCAGGGTCTCACTCCTTCTTGCCAGAGTTAAAAATTCAAACTTCTCTGGAGCCCTGCTACTCTTATAAGTAAATATTGGACCTTATTCTCAGTTTTGGGAGGCCTCTAAATGCGAGAGATAAAAAATGCCTTTTAAGTTGCTAAGAAGGGCCTTGGCTTTCACTCTTAGCCTTTATTTGGTGATCAGTCACCCTCAACCTTTCATTGTCTTTGTCCAGTGCATTGACTGCCTCCAGCTAACCATCCAATTCCATTGTCTTTATAAAACCTGATACATTTATCAGACCTGATATATTTCCCCCGCTAAGCATTGCCTTCCCCCAGGATCCCATCCCAGCTCAACACTAGTGAAAGCTTTGACAGTTGCACTGATTCCCTGCAGGGGATCTCCATGCTCTACCTGCTGCCCGTGGCCCTCACTGCCAGCGGGCCAGCAGGTATTTCCAGTTTAGAATCTCATTTTAGAATCTGCTTCCTCAGCACCCTTGGCACTGACTGTCAAGCGGGATTCCTCGGGAAACGTACTCTCAGATGGAGATTTGAGTAAAATAAGTTCACTGAGTCATGCTCTCAGGATCAACAACATTAGGAGAAAGTGAAGGCCTTAGACCTGAACAGCAGGAATTCAGGCACTGTTGTGGCCCTGCAGAGTTGTCTCCCACGGAGACAAGGAAACCAGACCTTCATACTTCCACATTGACCAGTAGATGCAGGCTGTCTTAGGAGGGGGCATAATCTTGAATGAATTTTAAGTTGAGGGCAGCTCCTGAAGGAAGCCCAGCTGGGAACTGTCAGGCACCCAAAATTCCCGGAAATGCTGGTGCAACTGGGAACTATCAGTCGCCCAAAATTCTGAGAAGTGCTGGGGGAGGACAAGGACGAGTGCGTCAGTCCTGATGGGGGTGGGCATCTGGGTGGCACAACAGCATTCACTATACTGCCTTTTTTTTTTTT